TCCAGTTCTGGGCACCGCACTTTAAGAAGGATGTGGCCTGCCTTGAGAGGGTTCAGAGGGGGGCCACCCGCTTGGTTGGAGGGCAACAGGGCAGGCCCTATGAGGAGAGGCTGAGGGACCTGAACCTGTTCAGCCTCAGCAAGTGGAGGCTGAGGGGGGATTTGGTGGCTGCCGACAAACTCATTAGGGGAGATCAGCAGCAAATAGGAAGGGTCCTATTCCCCCCAGCAGCACCTAGGGTGACGAGGAACAATGGCCAGAAGCTGCTGGAGAATAGGTTCAGGTTAGAGATTAGGAGGCACTATTTCACTGTCAGGGTAGCTAGGATCTGGGACCAACTTCCTAGGGAAGTGGTCCTCGCTCCTACCTTGGGTAAATTCAAAAAGAGGTTGGATGAATACCTGTCTAGGGTCGTGTGATCCCAGCATGTGCTCCAGCCAGTGGCAGGGGGTTAGACTAAATGATCTATTCAGGTCCCTTCTGACCCCTGACAACTATGAAACCAGTAGTGCTCAATTTTCTTCCCCAGTGGGCTGAATGGGCAGTGCCTGGTCTGACCACAGATTGGATGATGGTTCTGATCCAATGTCCAGGACCTGCACAGCAGGCATCATCCAACCACGTGGAGGGGGATGGGGGAATCCAGCCTAAGCCTGTCCCTGTAGTGGGGGAAGGGGGCTTCACATGGCTATGCAGGTCCGGTTGGGGGGAGAATGTGACCTAGCCCTCAAAGGGGGATGGGGGAGGAAGGGAGCTTGACCCAGCCCTATGGGGAAAAGGGGGCATGGCTTGGCCCCACAGGAGAAGGGGCATGGCCCAGCCTCACAGTGTGGGGGAGAGGGGGAGGGAAGGGAACATGGCCTGGCTCCACTCCAGTCCCATGGGGGCAAGGGGTGCAGCCTGGCTCTGACTGGGCATGTGCAGCTTGGGGTTTGGGAAATCAGCAGGGTGGAGGGTGGCCTTATTAATGGCCACGGCTCCCCCGCCAACAAATTTTCTGATGCGTGGGGAGCCCTGCCAGCCAGATGCATTGACTCAGCAGACCACACTTGGCTCGTGGGCCAGAGTCAAGCACCCCTGCCTTAGACATTTGACTGTCCTCAACACAGGACTTGAATCAAGTTTAGTGTTTTGGTAATGTCTGATGGATTCATTAAAATTACATCAGTGAGGTACATAGCCTTTGCTGTGCCCTTTGCTATTACCTTTGCTATGTCACATGCAAATCTAGAGCATTTCCTTCAATTTCTACAAACAAAATAATAAATTAATTGTAGCAGTCGCAGGACTTTATTGCTGAAATTAACTAGTGTTTCCACATGTAGGTTTTTGTTTCAGGGTGAAAACGGCACAATTCTTTATACTGGGGATTTCAGACTAGCAAAAGGAGAAGCAGCCAGGATGGAGCTTTTGCATTCAGGGAAAAGGTACAAAAAAATCCTACAATCCTTAAATTTAGTTTCTGCTGAGACTTCCTGTGAGTGTGAAGTTTAAAAAGACTTAAAGAATCTGTAGCCATAAATGTTATGGCTGGACTAATGTCACCTTTTCCCTTCATCTCCCACTAATTGACTAAGGCTATTTGCAAGTCAGTAGATCCATGTATAGGCTGAGATGAGCAGTGACATAAATATTACCAGAAAATAGTGTTTTTCAAACTTTCTAGCATCCAGTATATTTAAGTCTAAACTAGAGCAATGCAAGATAGATATGCTGCACTGCTCTTTCAATATCTTATCATTTCAGCTATAAAGCTGAAGAATTGCTACATTTCCCCCCATTCTGTGAGCAGTTAGCACATGTAACTATGGAATCTTTCCCTCTGAAATGATCATTTGCAGTAACTGGAAGTCTCTCTAATAATATAATAGAACTTTCTGCATCTGTGATGGGCGGGGACACAATTTTGTCATCATCTTATATGATAATATTGCATTTCTCTGTTTCAGAGTGAAAGACATTCAGAGTGTGTATTTAGACACAACCTTCTGTGATCCCAGATTTTATCATATCCCTAGCAGGGTAAGTACAAATCAAATGTGAGACTAACATACACACAGATACTGATAATTAACCAGCCTTTTGTCACTATTTAATTCTTAAAAGGAAATATTTTTTATGTTTCCAAAGTCTGGTGCTTTGGCTGTTACTACGAAGTTAAATGCATACAATTTTCTAACCATTTTAGGAGGAATGTTTAAATGGGATATTAGAGTTAGTACGTAGCTGGATCACGCTGAGCCGCTATCATGTTGTGTGGCTGAATTGCAAAGCTGCCTATGGATATGAATATTTGTTCATAAACCTCAGCGAGGAGCTTGGAACCAAGGTAACGCTTTCATATCAACTGCTTTATAAACAACCTGAGCAATGACTGTGGGGCCAATATAGTGACCTGGAAAATGCTGTTCTCAAGATTTCTGCAGTCTGAGAGGTCTTCCTGCTCTCCTTTGCTATACTAATAAAGCAGCAGTAATCTGGGAAATAAGCTTCTAGTTTGTATAGAAACAGTATTAACTAAATTCCCAATAGATGCCATCTACTGAGACTTTGGAGCTCTGCAGTCAGAATTGAATCCTTATTCCCAGGAGAAACATTCATAGTCTGCTCTTCGGCAGCCATGGAATGCCATATAAAAGCAATCTGATTCAGTGGCAATTAATTCCCTAGACCAGCAATTGGCTACCTTTTTCTTGGCTGTTGGCTGGAATGACCCAGACTGGGACTCAGGCACTGCTACTTTCCCTGTCATAGCATGGGGGAGGGGTTGACTGGTTAGATCCAGATGTTGATGACCTATGGCTGCCTTCTAAAGACTTGCTGGACATACTCAAATTCTTCCCAGAACAGGGTTATCCATTTCAGATGGTGGCTAAAGATGTACCTTGGCTGAGGTAGAAATACCAAGGTGTCCACGTAATTGCCTGTTTCCCCCCTCGTCTCCAAATTTGGTCAGTATTCCTGAGCACTGCAGGTTTTTGTTTTAATGTAACTTTTAGTATATGCGTTTAGTAATGTTCAGGACTAAATATTTGTTTGCTTTAGGTGCATGTGAACAAGCTGGATATGTTCAAAAACATGCCAGAAATATTGTACCATGTCACTACGGATCGGCGCACTCAAATTCATGCATGCCGGCATCCACGAGTATGTACTGGATCGTAAACTACCTGATAGCTTTGTATAAAAAGTCGCTGTAGACTTAAATGTTTGCAGTGTTTCCATTCCCAGTAAAGAACATGGGAGGGAGAAAATTGAACTTGGTATAAGGGGAGTAAAAGGTTTAGTTACTGAATAAAATGAAGTGAAACATATCTTACTAGGTCTAAAGCTAGCACCATGAATAAAAATTCCAGTTCAGCCACTTGAAGAAGAAAGACCAGCAATATGTTAGAAAGGGTAGAGGGTTATGTTGTCCTGCCTTAGCGCAGAATGTGTGATACCTCATGGCCAGGTGGTATATAGAAGGCTTCATGTACTGTTTGCATTGACCTTCAGTACAGCACCTTGCAACAGGAATCCCAGAACTGGGGAAACACAAATAAAATTGGAGACAACATTGAGGGCAGGTCCTGATAGATTAAGGAAGGTTAATATGACCGTGGGATGTAGGGAATGGCTTCCAAAAGAGGTAGATGAGACTAGAACACTAGCAAATACATATTTCATAGATTTCATAGACATTAGGACTGGAAGGGACCTCAGAAGATCAAGTCCAGTCCCCTGCCTCAGCAGCAGGAAGTCAGCTGGGGTCACAGGATCCCAGCAAGATAAGCGTTCAGATGTTTCTTAAGAGTCCAGAGTAGGTGCTTGCACCACCTCTGGAGGAAGTATATTCCAGGCCTTGGGGGCTCGGACAGTAAAGAAGTTTTTTCTTATGTCCAGCCTGAAACGGTCTTGGAGGAGTTTGTGACCGTTTGACCTTGTCATCCCTTGGGGCGCTCTGGTGAACAGGCGTTCCCCCAGATCCTGATGCACACCCCTTATATACTTACAAGCTGCCACCAGGTCACCCCGAGCCTGCGTTTTTCCAGGCTGAAGAGTCCCATGGTGCTCATAAGACCTGTTCTCTTGCCCTCTGATCATGTGTGTGGCTCTCCTCTGGACTCTCTCAAGCTTCTTCACATCCTTCTTGAATTTGTGGAGCCCAAGATTGGATGCAGTACTGCAGCTGTGGCCTCACCATATTGAAAAGGCCAGCATTATATTTGCCTTTGTATTTCAGTAGATGGTTTTTATCTGGTAGGATGATGAGTATCTTCGAGGGAATAGGTTGCCCTGTGGAATTACTTCCCAAAATGGAACCCCACTGCGCATCATTAGTGTCAAACCTTCCACAATGTGGTTTGGAGAGAGAACCAGAAAAACCGATGTAATAGTAAGGTAAGCAATGTTATGAAGCCTTCTGTGATATGAATAAAACCATTATGAGGGTGCTTACTAACATTTTGCCTGAAGGTGTAGATGCACGATGCTACTGCTCTGCAATAAACCCTGTAGATGCTATTACAGAACATGGCCACTGTGTGGCAGTGGAACCAGCCTACATTGAACAGTCAGCTACTCTGGGATAAAATTGACAAGGGGAGTAGACACAAGGTGAACTCCTTAGTAAGGCACCTCCGAATAATTGCTACAGATTTTCATGATATAACTTCTGCCCTAGAAAAGAGTTTGTAGCAGGGCTTCATGTCAAGTTTGCTGGACTAAAGTCAGTTTATTTTAGAGTAAATACATTTGGTGTGTCCACACCCTGAGTTTTGTGCAGGTAGTTAAGTCATCTTTGGAATTGTTTCCTAACTCAACCTCTACTAACCAAACTGAAGCTGTAATGAGCTTGGCAATTTTGAGTTATTTTGTCATATCTGTTTCTAGGATTGGGGAGAGTTCATACAGAGCTTGTTTTTCTTTTCACTCTTCATACAGTGAGGTATGTAGAATGATGTCCAGTTTCACAATGTCATGAACAACACGTTAGAAGTAGTTATGCTCACTTTGGAGTAAGCGATAGGTTAGAATGCAACAAGGGAAAAAATGTTTGATAACAAGCTTCTTGGTAATGAGAAGGGGTGAATGTAAAAAATGAGTGATGAAGGCAGTGCAAGATCAGCAGTGCCCTTGCATAGCTGTTGCAAGACCCTGTATTTCAACTGGATATCTAGACTAACCTTTTTCTAATATATTTAAAACAGAATGTTTGGGCTGCTAATATATTTAAGCACAACTGTTTTTTAATGTTGATGGAGCTTAAGGCAAAGTATGTTGCAGCTTTGTAGTGGGAAACATAGGTATTATGTTTTGGCTTTCATATGACTTTTTCACATTCTGGCCACCACTGTATAAATTAAACCATTAAGAATTACTACCTGTTTGTTATCATAGCCTCTTCTACACAGTTCCTTAAAACAAACATTCCTCTCACTATTTAAAAAAAATCTGGTCTATAAGGACAACCTTTCCAAATATGAACTGTGAACCTGCATTATACATGAAAGAGAACAATGGATTTTCCTATGAAAAGAGATTCCAGCTTTAAGATATCTCGTGGTGGCTTGAACACTTTTAAGGGAAGGAGCAGAGAAACTTTTTAATAAAAACCTCTAAAACAATATTATCCATTCAGCTAATTCTGATTCTCTGTTTTAGAGTTGTTTGTACAGGGTTCCAGCACCTGGGTTGTGCTGATCTACATTGTGCTTAAGGCACACATCCTATGAGACACATGCTTCAATCAGCATTACCATATGGTAGCGTGTGTCACAAATATACTTTTAAGGTAATTATTAAACCACTTGTACCTCTCTTTTCTTTTTTTTGCTTTTCCCCCTAATTCAGATTAAGGATTTCTTGAGCTATATCCGTCCAATGAATGTGTATCCCAATGTAATTCCAGTGGGAGCGACGGAGGAAAAAGCTCTTGCAATGTAAGTGCTGCTTGGCTGGCTGGTCTGGGTTATTTTATTGATGCTGTTTCTCGTTGGTTGCTATAAAGATGATGATAACTTATGCCTCAGCCTGGAATTATCTCCAGCTGGCAGTCAGCTTTTGTTGCCTCTTCCTCCCTTCTATTCATACTCTCCTTTCCTTTCCTCTCTCCTATTCAAATCTTGTTCAGAAAGCCAAATGGGAGGAGAATCCACATGTTCAAGTGCTGCTTTGTTGTTTTAGACATGGCATAAATTATAAAGTTCCCAACTTTTTGATTGGCTTCACTTATCTTTATAGATTTTCCCTTACTGTTTTTAGGCTAGCTGTATTGGGCTATTTCTGTCATATGATTGTTGAATGCCTTATGTGCATGCCATCTTGTCATCCCTGCTTCAGAGAACCTCAGTAGGATCCTTCCTCTTAAATAAAATCTCCATTGGGGCTTCAACTCCCAACCTCTCTGCACATAAAATTAATGTATTGTATGTACCGTAACTAGTTAATTTACCCTTCCCTCCCTGCTGAGCTGTTGGAGAGGTAGGAAGATCTTTGTGACATTAATTTACAAGGCTGGTATTACAAGAAGGGAGATGTAGTTAGGCTATTACAAGAAAGGGCTACTGTAGGAAGCGGCAGTTTTGTGGTTGGAAGACACCCCCCCCCTTTTTTTTTTTTTTT